GCCACAGGCACTTTCTTTTTGAAAAAAGTGTCGCTTTTAAAATTTTGCCTTTCACAAGAGAAAAAGAGTTAATTATGTACACAAAAAAACAAAATAGTTGTCATATCCATTCTTCTCAAGAACGGAAGAAACTGAAGAAAAGACTGTTTTCAGATTGTTATGTTTGTAAAAAAAACTCTATATGATTTGAATCTAACTGAATCATCAATCTCTTTACTCAATTATTATTTCACAAATAATGCTATAAAACGTGCCGCAGCAAAGTTAATAGAATTTATCACCTTGTGTGGCATTTCAGAATGCAATATCAATCAAGTGATTTGCAGTGTAAATATATCGTGTCTAAAATAAAGAAATAATATCGATCGAAGCGAAGGAGCTACCATCTCTGTCTATACAAAAAGATCATTATCATGTTCGTTATTATACAAAAATATTTTAGGTAACTTCCTGTTATTATTGTGTTGGACATTCATGTAAACTATAGGATCAAGGTACATTTAATCTATCAGATCCATCTGGTGTAATTCAATCGAAGTATCTTACAGAATTAACAGTATTGCTCCGACAATGGTCATAGTTATTTCATGTCTTTCAATTAATCAAATGAAAAAAAAAAAATTTTTTTTCTATAAGCATTAAACTACCAACGTTCGTGCACAGAGTATGGGTATGAATGAGATTGAAAGTATACATTCACACCCACACCCACTCTAGTTTACGTTTGAACCAGTTTTTTTCTTAATCAATCGTTTTCCACTGATCGTTTGTTGAAATTCTTTCTTGAATACTTTTAATGGGATAACATGAAGAGCAAAACCCAAAACTTGTGGCAAATATGATAAAAAATATGTTGTGAGTAATAGATATCGTTGCCATGATTGTTTCAATTCAGTACAAGCATAAGTAAACGATAGAATGATTTGTGGCAATGAGCTGAGAATAATAACTATTGGTGTAACATAGAGTTCTTTTCGCATTTATAATTGTTTCTTAAATAATATTAAAAATGTTTGTTGATCATTATTACATGTACGTGTACGACTACGAGCAGTTTTGACAATTAAAAGTGTAATAGAGATTATTTATCGTTTGAAACATGGTTGGAAAGTATCTAGTTCTATTTATTTTTCAATAACTTGGTATGTAAAATCTTGAATTTAGACTCTAGTGTTCTATTGAAAGTTGTGCATTGCATATGATGGAAATGTTAGAAGTAAATATGGTTTAGCTAATAATTGTCGTTCAACTGAAAATAAATAAGCTATGATCATTCGTTCATTATATTCATTAAGAATCCAAAGAAAAGACATTGGAAATTTAACTTAGTTTTTAGATTTGTAAATTCTTTTTATTTGAAAAATCTGTTTGTTGTTTTACAAAGTTTGAAGAATAGGAAGAACAAACCACAACCTGTTATCTGCTTGAATTTGAAACGTTTTCTTTTAAAAAAAAAGTATTATAGAATCTGATATATTATTTATTTAATTTTGATTAAAAAAGGGTAATTGACATAATTTTCTAAAGACTATCGAAACATAATAGTTTGGATAAAGAGAAAAAAAACCATTTTCATCTTTCATAGTGTTGAGTGGACCATTGATTGATGATGCCGTTTGAATTAAAGACAAAACTAGAAATGATGAAAGATATAATAATAAACATGTTTGAAAATAAGATTCGAAAATATCAATATATGAATCATATAAAAGCCAAAAACCACGCCAAAGAAAGAGACATGAGAAAAAAGCAAAGAAATGACGAAAATTTTCATAGAATTGAGGAAAATTTGTCGAAAGAAATATCCAAAATTCATATTTGAAATTTGAATTTTCCAGATAACTTTGCAAATACATTAAAGGAGAATAAAGAATATAGCCAATCAATAAACAAATCCAAACAGATCGAACCCAATCATCAGGATAAAAATATACATCAATAAAATGATAAAAACCACGCTATATTATGATTATTATATTCGAAATGATAATTTCGTATAAAATAAAATTTATTAAATTGATTTTCCATTGTTTCATCTTCAAATAAGAAAAAAAAATAGAATATATTTCTTTTTTTTTCAATATTAAAGATTAAACTTACTTGTCGTGTTAGAAGAGGACAACTAGATTGTAAACAATATTCAATAGAATCATAACTAATGAGAAATGGAGCACAAACCAGATCTGATAAATGTCCCGTGAAGACAACTAATACAAATAGAAATGTTAACGAAAGAAGTAATTCAAAATCCCATTCATCAGAAGTATATTGATCCCACATTGTCCAAATCATTTCCCATTGAATAATATAAATTGATGCTGAGACAAATATATGACATTTTAATAGAATAATTTGAACTATATACGTTTGTCTTTTGAGAAAATTGTAGAAAAAATCTTGACCAAGATAAAAACAAAGAAGAAAAACTTGAGCGACGACATACGAAATAAATAATGATTGAAATGAAAAATCGTCTCCTTCAAGATTTGATACTAACGGATCATCGTTATTAATGTGCAAGGGCTTCTTGTGTGATAATCCTTTCCCCTTTTTACCCTTTATTTGTGAATTTTTTGCTAATTTCGAGAGTTTTTGTTTGTCAAATTTTGATAAATATTCTTTATCTAAGACTTTTTGTGAGCCATTTAAAGATAGAATGTTTGTTAGAATTTTTGACTCTTCCGTCCCTAAATATTGTTGAGAAGTAGATGGTGGATATCTATTGACTGAATTCAATAAAACGAATATAACATTCCATCCACACTGCCAGAAGAGAACTATAATTGGGAAAAGAATTAAACCAATGATAATCGGTTCCATAATGAATAAAATTCGTCGATGATATTCTTTAGGTTTTTTCTCGACGAAATCTTTTTCAAACGAATGAGAAACTTGAGAATTGATTGACAATCGACATTCTTTCGAATCTTCGATTTGTTTGAGAACAGATTGTTGGTGATGATTAGGATTGGTTGATGTCGAAGGATGACTAGCTAAATTTTGTTCCTTTTCGATAAGAAATACTTGTGGAATTGGTGAATCTCGATGGACATTTGTCTGTAGCATTTGGTGATAATTTGCACGCATTTTTTTCATTTTGTTGAGAATTGTGGTACTGTTCTATTGTTAATTCATCTTAAGATATAGTCTTATCGATGATGACTCACTTTGATGGCTCGCCCAAACCAAAATCAATAATATTTAACCCAATCTCATTAGAATTTAAATCCTCAATGATTAATCAGCTATACTGTGTATATATCACATCTTCAACCGATTAGTTTACAACAATAATTTGATATTTGTTCGATAGTTGTCAAAAGAAAAAATAGTTATACTTAGTAATACCAAAGGCGTAGTTTATGTTCTTATTCAGATTTATCCTTTAATCTTTCTTTTTTTTGACTCAACTATCAAAATATCAATCACTTACTTTATCGTTCTGTTATGCACTTATCTGGTGTATTACGAACAAATGAGAAAAAAAGGACATTGCAGCGAATTGAAATATTACTTCCGAATTGGTGTCATTGATATTTTTTTATCAAGGGCGTAATTGACTTTTGACTCAATAGAGTCATGAAAAGTTTCTTTTGCTAATATCATTATAACATCTTGAGGGTGTGGGTGAAATAGAACATTCACAGCCACCCTCAAGACTGATTATATTTTGTTTATTATTACTGCTTGAAAAAAAAACAATATAAATTTTCAAAACGTCGATAATTCTAAACATTTGGTAAAAGTATTTCGAACATTGACGACAAAGACAGTGGCATTATTTTCACATGTCAAAAAAAAGAAATATTCACTACGCATTTTCGTGTACACGTTATTGCATAAGATCTGTGTAATTACTGACTCAGTTGATATACTATTTTTCTGTTCTACTCTGCACATAGGTTTAAAAAGGTTTTTCTTTACGTATCTCTCACATTTATTTGTCGATATAGAGAACAGAAAAAAGAAGTATGTAAATTGACTCAATAATTGCGCAAAACATGTGCAAGAAAGTGCATGGTGAATATTTCATCTTTGACATTTAGAGATTACAGGATGTCGTCGATGTCTACCTTTGAAATATTACCCAATGAAATTTTAATGAACATTGTCCGATATTCGGGCAATGCTTATACAATATTTCGAACATTCTCTGGATTGAATCAACGTCTAAATAACATTCTTATCGACAGATGTTTACACCTATTTACTGATCTATTGTATACGAAACCTGATGATTCAGATATTAACTATTATTACAATTGTGATTCATTTCACGAGATATGTCATCAATTTTCATCTTTGAAAACAACAGAAGACGATAAAAATCTTTATCAATGTTTTCAATCGTTAATTGCCTCTTATATTAGAGAAACTTTCAACCGATTGGGCGATGAATTTCAATCAAATATAAAACGATTTCAATCTATACGTGCACGTAATACTGCTATTGTAATTAGTAGCCTCGATAATGAATTGAAGAATATGTTTAATTATTTACCAGTTGCTTTATGTCCACAGGATGCCTACTGTGCATGGGAACCATATTTCTCATCCGAATCACTCATAGATATGAAACGAATTGAGTCTCGTATTCTTACTCAAGGTGCTAGTCTTGAATGTGATGACGATGATGAGAAAGAATTTAATTTTGCTAAAGCAATAAATAAATGGTTATTAGCAAAGGCTAATCTCACTAAATCTAATGATCAACGACTTATCAATCCTCTCATTGCAATGTTCAAAGCATTACTAATTTCTAATCCGAAGCTTCTCAAAAATAAAGGCTACACTAATTATGATACGAAAAGTCGTTCTACACACTATTTTCTATTATACTCGATTTATCGATTAAAATACTTTCATGATTATGCTCCTGTACGATTTAACTCTATCAATATGAACTGGTATAAAGCTGTGCTAAACCTATTCCTCTTTACTGTACATTGTCTGAAACATTTATTAGATGAAGACTTTTTCCTTGAAGATTTTCTTTTGGATATATTAAATATGATCAATTTGACTGAACCTTCCACTTATGAGGAACTATTTATTCACACAAGCCAAATGGAAATATTGAGAATTATACTTCACGAATATGATTTAAAAGACGTAGCATCGTGTGATAAGCATGATACTTTTTCACAAGCTGTATGCAATTTAATCAAAAACAATCAACTAAATATAATTCCATTTATCTATAGTGAGAGTGTGCACGTACACAATTTATTTCGTAAATCCAAGACTAGTCAACAAATTGTCGAGATTATAACTGGAAGCCGAAAGAAAAGACAATTGTTTAAGGTACTCTTGAGTGATATACAACTAAGACCGTGGCTGACAAGCTCAGATCTGTTGTTTATTTTATTACAGAAGAAAGAATGTAAACTTGTGAAACATTTATTGAAATTATCACCATTACTCGTTCATCGATTAGATAAGGATGGAAATGATGCATTACTTTATGTTTGTCTCAAGGTGCGTGGCTGTCGACATCGTCTTATCAAATTTTTAATAGCGATAGGATGTGATTTACAAAGAAGAAATTCGAAACTCGAAAATTTTATCGATGCACTGCAATTGACACGAAACAAGAAACTGTTAGAAAAGTTAATCGAACACGAAATTATTCAAATTGATAATATTTCTGCAGAGATACAAGTTATTTTGGCTAACCAATCGCAATGACATCAATAAATTTTCTTAGCAAACAGAGTGTTTTTTGTATTCATCGAGCAAGGTGTTAGAGAGCTCCTCATCTTGCAGTTGTCTGAGTCTATGTGTATTGGTGGGTATAGATACGTGTCTTTAGAATCCTAAATCACACCCACACCCAGATTATAACTCAGGATATTTATTCTGAATTATTTGTTTAGTAGAGCAATTAATACAAACGAAGTCAAGCTTTGCGCAGAAACAAAAACAAATTCCGTATTCTATCTTAGTTTTACTCAGCTTGCGAAGTTTTATCAGGTTCTTGTTGCTTGTTGAACATGTCTTTCAAGTCTGAAAGTGAACATGCGTAGCATTGCGTGATATCAAAGTAAATGTTTTGTTGTTGTCCATCTTTTGTCAAGATACTGAATCGATCAAGATATTTTCCACTATCGGTGACCATTGCTTTTGATTTGAGAGTATATCCTGGATATTTATTATTCAACCATTTGTGCTCTGTTTGAGTTGCAACAGATACATTTGTTTCTTGTAGAGTTATTGCTGTGGCAGGCATTAAACCATCTTTGATGATTTCAGCTGCCAAAGTACTAGAAATGATATACAAAATAGTTCATATATTTTTCCTTTTCGTCAACACGATTACTAATGAATACTAAAGTATATTGCATGAGAGTGTGGGGAAAAGATCTACATAATTTTCTTATAAGAGAGAATTTGTCTACAAACTTACCGTCGAACAAGTAACGAACAGCTTTGAATGGGTTTATAAATTCGACCAAACATAATGTTAACGTTTTTTATTTCTCTTGCTTGTTTTATATGTATATATATATATACAATATTTACGAACGTGGAAATACTTCCGCAATACGTATTTCTATGTTGGAAAAATCCAAGCACTGTAAAATAATGAATCTATATTATGATGTTATTTTGTGTTTGTTCTATCATGAGTAATCAGACGTCATTTTCTTTCATTCGTACCTTTCGATTTAAATTCATAAGCAAACAAGTCATGTATTCTATGACGCTTCAACTGCATGGTGATTTTGATTGGATTCTGGACACCCTCTGAGTCACAATTATTTCACAATCAACATAAATACATAAAATCAAACATTCTGATGCAATTATGTGCAAAATGTATTGCTGTTGGAAAAAAAATCAACTTTCGCTTCAGATCGTGTAACAAGCATGATAAGAAACTAAATATATCATTTCGCTTTCACAAAAATACCGAAAATTTGGTCAAATTCGGTTACAACTGCTATAATAAATTCTAGATTATAATTGTACAGTTATGGATAATCGATCAGCATAGAAAAAAAATGAGTAAATAAAAGAAATTCAGTGGTTTTTTTGAGTATTCGTTTACTTAGGTAAAAGTGGAAGTAGACAAATGAATATATTTACTTGAAGAAATGTGTTTAAAAAAAAGTCTTTTTCTAAGGTAAACAATTTTAAAAGCATTTATACTCTTTTATTTCGTTAACATGTGTAACTTTTACATATAAAATATCGACTTTTCATTACATATTCGGATGAATAATTTCTTTTAAAATATTATAAAGATCCGCAAAATCACAACATTGAGAATAACAAATATTACTTCAAACTTTTCAATTTATAATTTCTCACATTGAATAATACCATCTAGATCTTGTGACTTTGTTATATATTAAATGAAAATTTTCTCGAAGAAACTCTTTATTCTCTTTTGATGAAGACTGTTACAATAGTTTTTAGAAAACTATTTTAAATATTCGGAATGTGTCTGTTGAACTAGAATTGTTATTATTAACCGAAAAGATCCATTGAGTTGCCGCCCCTTATCTTTGTGTATGTCACAGTTAACGTGAGAATTTAGTTGAGATAAGCATGCGTGAGAAAAAAATAAAAATGAAAAACATTTTCCTAAAAGAGAAAATTTTAGTACGTAAAAGCAGCTTTATGATCAACATACGAATAAGCAACCTACACCACCGATCCCTTATTCGATGTAAATGAAATAAAAAACAAAATGTCTATCTATTACACTTGAACAGATTATACATAATCTTTATACCTTGGATAATAAAATAATTCTATGTAAGCAATTCTGTACCTTCTACGAAAAAAACAAACCATCGCTGAATGTCCCGTTCATGAAAAAAATCTCTTTTTCTTTAATTCTAAAAAACCAATGTCCCGCTTATAAAACAATATCCATAATGAATAAGAAACCTGAATAATCAAAAAATTAATTTTATCTTTAATCCAAATTTCTTTTTTTCTTAAATTGATTCTATTTATTCAAATAGTCAATATTCTACTTTGTTATAAACAGAAGAAAATATTTTTCATATATCAAATTTAATCTACAACCATAAATTATTCTCAATTCTCTTTTTCTTTTTCTTTAAATTAAAAATATAGAAATAATTTCTTTATTTATAGTATTACAAACTCAATTAAATTCCTTAACCGACTGCTACAGATTATACCGATCATTTCTACATTTATTCTCAATAATGTAAAATTCACAAAAAATGATATTGATCGTTAGTGAGATAGTTAAAAAGAAACATTGAAATTTATAGAATATATTCATATGATAAAGTGAATTCAATAATAAATTTAATTTAATAAATATTATAAGTTCATTTTCATCAAGAATAATATCTTATGGAAGATTAATAATTTATAAATTAGGATTTATTTTAACAATAATAATTAATATGTTTCAAAAAGAGTTTTGTTAATTCTAATATTTTTTTACTAAATATCAATATAAAAATATTCATTTAGTTAATTAAGCATCTCTTCTACAGAAAAATAAAATGGATGCATAGAAAATATTATTTTATCTAATAGTACATAAAGGTTATTTACGTATAATACAATAATATTGTTTTCATAGAAAAGAATATGTCGTTAAGTCGTCATTTTATTTTTCTACGTATATAGACACGCCCAAATATAAGCATTATGTACTTTTTTTATAACGTATGATTTTTTTAGAGGGTTGTATGGTATTGTTAAACGAAAGATTTGATTATTTTTGATATACATCGAGGCGTTTCTTCTCTTGTTTTTCAATAGAGTAGATTACTAATAAAAATAAAGAAGAGAACAAAACTATGAGTATATAAGTATATGTTAAAACGCTATATCATTTATCTACATTCTCATATTTATTACTCGATTTTTCATAACATATAAACAATAAAAATGTTTGGCGGTGAGGAACATCGTCGTCGTGGTAAGAATAATATACTTATTTATTTAAATTTATTCGTTTTTTTTTCTAATTTGAAGAAGAAGGATTTGGTGGCGGAGGTTTTGGTGGTGGAATGGGCGGTATGGGTGGAGGTTTTGGTGATCCATACGGTGGTGGTATGGGAGGTATGGGCGGTATGGGTGGAGGTTTTGGAGATCCATACGGTGGTGGAATGGGTGGTGGTTTTGGAGATCCATACGGTGGCATGGGCGGTATGGGTGGTGGTTATGGATCATCTTATGGATATGGTTATTAGTAAAATGTTCTAAGAACATTATTCTTCTCTATTAGAATGCATTTTAAAGAAATGTACTTATTACAAAAATTGTAAATATAGTATTTTTTTAAGAATCTACGGCATTTGTGACGGATAAATCAATAAAATTTATTGAATCTATTTTTCTAAATTTAAGATCGATATTGAAGTATTTGTAATTATGAAAACTAAAATTTAAAACAGAGATTTTAATTTGAGAAAGAACGACATATTATTTTTATAGGACAATTAGTAAACGATTACTCAATTTACAATTTGCTATTAAAGAAAATGATATAAACTTACTTTTTTAAATTAATTTATCATCAAGCAAATTTATTTTTTAATAATCTTCAGTATCTATTTATGAAGACAATAACTTATTATATGAAAAAATATTATCTATTTGTTTAATAAAAGAAAATTTTTGAACATAAAATAAAATACAACCTTGTTATCAACTAAAAAAAATCAATAGAATATTCAAAGGTATGCGTGTCGGTGTGAATAAATATACATCATATGCAGCGAAGATATTAAACTTCAGAAGGCTGATCTTGATCTATGTCTGCAGGAAACAATTCAAAAGCATGATGACAAACTAAATACATCGTTTTGTTTTTAGGAAAATTTAGTCAAATTCTGTGAGAACTGCCTTGATAAATTCTAGATTATAATTGTATATTTCTAGTCGATCAATACAGAAAAAACTGAATAAATAAAAGAAATTCGATGGTTTTTTAAGTATTCATCTATTTATGTAAAAATGAAAGTAGACGAATGAATATATTTACTTGAAGAAATACGATTTAAAAAAAATTTTGTTCCAAGGTAAACAATTTTAAAAGCATTTATATTCTTTTATTACGTTAATATGTGAAACTTTTATGTATAAAATATCGACTTCTCATTACATGTTCGGATGAATAATTTCTTTTAAAATATTATAAAGATCCGCAGGATGACAAAGTTGAGAATAATAAATATTACTTCAAACTTTTCAATTGATAATTCTATAGACAATTATACGTGCAAGATGAATGTATATCAAAACACGAGTTAATAATATTAATGATTTAAAGAACAGAACCGAAAGAAAAAATTAAGGATATAAAAGAAGAGACATTAGATAATGTTCTCAACTGTATTGTTAAGAAATAAAAATTTTATATTTATATAAATATTCATATTTTTGAACAATACCTATGAAAAATTTTAATATAAAATAAAAAAAAAAAAAGAAATTGTTCAATTCGAACAAAAAATAAGAAACATAAAGTAATTTTCTTTTTTGTTAGATGACTTTTCGGATGTTTTCCATTGATTTTCATTAATTGTGATTAATTGCCATGTAGATGTATCAAAAGAGAAAGAACGAGACTTCAGAAGTGCATACTTTGCTCATACTTCACTTGTAATCCATCTTGTGTATCATTGTAATTCGTTTGACTTTATCTATTCTTCCTTCGTATTTTACTGATACTTTTTCATATTTAACGAATTGAAATATATTAATAAAAATATTATATAATTCTTCAAGTATTCGATCGAATCATACACATTAGTATCAACTGATAGAAAGAATTGAGTCTAAATACCAACAGATAATATTACTTAGATTAACAATCTAGGACAGTAAATATTAGCTCATATATACATATTTAATTATACCAACTATTTCTAGATTTATTCTCAATAATGTAAAATTCACAAAAAATGATGTTGATCGTTAGTGAGATAGTTAAAAAGAAACATTGAAATTTATAGAATATAGTCATATGATAAAGTGAATTCAATAATAAATTTAATTTAATAAATATTATAAGTTCATTTTCATCAAGAATAATATCTTATGGAAGATTAATAATTTATAAATTAGGATTTATTTTAACAATAATAATTAATATGTTTCAAAAAGAGTTTTGTTAATTCTAATATTTTTTTACTAAATATCAATATAAAAATATTCATTTAGTTAATTAAGCATCTCTTCTATAGAATATTATTTTAACTTATAGTACGTAAAGAGTATCTACATATAAAAAAATAATATTGTTTTCATAAAAAAGAATAATTTAATAAGTCGTCATTTTATTTTTGTGCGTATATAGACACGCCTCAATATGAATAATATGTACTTTTTTCGGCGCATAATTTTTTTAGAGGGTTGTTTGGTATTTCTAAACGAATAATTCGATTATTTTTGATATGCATCAAGGTGTTTCCTCTCTTCTTTTTCAATAGAGTCGATTACTAATAAAAATAAAGAAGAGAACAGAAACATGAGTATATAAATATGACTTAACACGCTATAACAAATATACATTCTCATATTTATTATTCAATTTTTTACATAACGTACAAACAATAACAATGTTCGGCGAACATCATCATCATCGTGGTAAGAATAATCTAATTATTTATTGAAATTTATTCGTTTGTTTTTTCTAATCTACAGAAGGATTTGGTGGAGGTTATGGAGGCTATGGAGGATATGGCGGAGGCTACGGAGGTATGGGTGGAGGCTTTGGTGATCCATACGGTGGTATGGGTATGGGTGGCATGGGAGGTATGGGTGGTTTTGGTGGTGGAATGGGTGGTGGTATGGGTATGGGCGGTGGTTATGGTGGTATGGGTGGTGGTTATGGACAATCTTATGGATATGGTTATTATTAAAGTGATCTTAGAACATCATTCTTCTCTATTAAAATGCATTTTAAAGAAATATATTTTGTTACAAAAATTGTAAATATATAGTATTTTTTTAAAAATCTCTGACATTTATGACGAATAAATCAATAAATTCATTGAATCTATTTTTCTGGTCAATTTAAGATTGATATTGAAGTGCTGTTAATTATTAATACTAAAATTTAAAACAGTGATTTTAATTTGAGAAAGAACAACATATTATTTTTCTAGGAAAATAAATAAATGATGACTCAATTTACAATTTCATTTTGAAGAAAATAACTTATTATTTAGAAAAATATTATCCATTTGTTTAATAAAAATGAAACTTTGAACATAAAATACAATAAAAAGTTGTCATCAACTACAAAATTCTATTTAGAATATAAAACATTATTGAAAATTAGTTGCTCTAAAATGTTTGTTTGATGAATATTTCTCCAAAGATAATTAATAAAATCTTACTTTTTATTTTCTAATATTTGCATTATATTTTATATTGAAGAATTTTTCGTATTTTATTCAAGTACTAACGACAAAAAATATAAGTCCGCGTTTCGATGAGCAACTGAAAAATTTCTCCTAGTTGCGAGAAATTTATTATGATGGTGACGACTGCAAGAATAGAAAATCTGATGAAGAGCGAGAGTATGAATAAGTTTTTGATTGCGAACGATGTACTTTTATATTTTGCATTTCGAAAAAAACATGTGCCTTTTTCGTTGTGTAATTTTGTGTCTTTTTTTCTCTAATACTTGTCAATATATGCAAATGTATTATTCTTTTGCGTTCGTATTTTACTGACATAAAAATCAGATAAAAAAAATAAGAGGAGTAGTCATATTTATCATTACTCATCTCAATGCACTTTTAATTTTAATCCAATAGAAATCGAAATATTAAAATTTATTAAACATGCGATTTTTTTAAATCTAATGAATTTTTGTTAGTTAATAATTTTATTTCATTTTAACTCTAACTTATTCTGATCAAATAAAAATTTTAAGAAATAGAATAATTGGAAAAAATAAATAGAATTTCATCTTCAATCAGCTGAACTTTGCAATTAACTTTTAAGTCTTTTTATAAATATATTATTACAAAAGAAAAAGTATAGCTTTTATTCATATTATTTCGAAGAATTCTATAACCATTCTTCATATATTTGATCGTAAAATAAATTTCTATTTCTATCTATATAATGTAAGTAAAGAAAAGAAGGAATATGTCGATACATATATGTTGATTTTAATAGAATTTAAATTATTAATTCTCTGTAGAAATAGATGTGTGTAAGACTGTCGATAACGGATAAATATAATAATATCATTCACAGTTAGACTTACTCTCAGACAATCATTCATGCTTATATCTACATTCATCCGAAGGCAATTAGATTAAAAACATAATTCACATTTTTTCGAGTTTTAATCTATTTTAAACTAAAAACTCAGAAATTAAAATATAATTCATTTACAGAATATTAGTTGTAAGGGTGATCACACTCGAGATTCATATTATAAAAAACATATCTTTGCTGTAGTAAATAGAAATCGTGTTAAAAATATTATTACACATAGTTTCGTACAAATATATGTCATCTATTTATATAGACAAAAGTATATAATATTATTCAAGAAAACTGTGATATCTATAGAGTATAGAAAATTATCTGGAACTATTTGACAGCTTCCCCAACTGTGGAAGTGTCGTAATAAATATTGTGATATCATCTGACAGCTTACGTATATGAGGAATAAATTATTATGAAATGTATCGAATTCTCATGTAGTTTCGTTGCAGAGATGCGAAATAATTTTTATTTCACGAAACTTATATTCGTTTGGTGAAAAACTACGGATGTTTAGTAGTGTGGTCATTAATATGCATGTATATGTTGTAGGAGAATTTAAAACTCCCCTAAGGGAAAAGTAAAATTTTAATCTCTTCTAGGATAAATTAAAATTCTTTTCTTTCCTGTAATTTTTGTAAGAAAAATTTAAGATTTTAGTTTCTCCTAGAAGAAACTAAAATTTAAAATTCTCCTGTATTATAATTTCTCCTACAACATATATGTATGAATAAATTGATTTTACCTAATTGTTTTTTTCTCAAGTAAAACGATAAAAGTTAATTATATATTTTTCAAAAAATTATTCGAATAGAATGAGATACATTGTGATTGTAGACGATTCAAGTGTTCATTTATATCCACTCACACCTTCATAAACGTATTATAATGAAATATTAATTCTATCTATCATAGAAATTTATTTTAAATTCATTTTCACTTTGAAGATAGCTTTTTTTTAGTTCAGTTAATAAAATATCTAAACAAAACATCGTAATACGATGTCTGAATGATAAAATATGCGAATATTTTCTAATCATCTTAAGTTTATATAATGTAGATATACTGAAATTTTTCAAACAATGAATCATCTATTCGTTTCATATATACCATTTTGTTTCTTCAAACAAAATTTTTATCTGATCAGTTCCTATTACTCATCTACAGTCACCTATATAAATTTGATCTTTTCTACACCTTTCATAATCTAACTAAGATATCGATCTAATAAAAAAAAAATATTCTCTAAGAACACTCTCGATTTCAAATTAGATGGGTGTGGATATTCGTTTCATACACATACATAGCATCAACCATTACAAAAGAAAATGATATTCAAGTTCTGTATCGTATGATTGAAAAACAATAAAATAAAAGTTGAAGACAAACATCATCAATTCTTTCTTTTGTCATGATTAATTGATTCTAAAAATAAAGTTTTCTGTTTCTATGTTGTACTTTTGTAAAACAACAGTAACATCGTAGTAATTCTCCAAATTTTGTCTGTAAAAATTGTTCCCAATAGATTTTTGATGGATAAACATATATGAAGAATGTAAATATTTCTGGTATATGTACGAGAAAATTGAGAATAATATTTAAACGCATTCGAAATAAAGTATCCGAACATGTTATTAGTAGATGAAATATAATCACATGTGGCATTATACAAATAATAATTAATAGTGGTGGAATAAAAAAATCTTTATGATTATATATTTGTTGTTTCCATATTGATAACCATTGAGTTGGTGTTGTTCGAATATGATAATTAAGATATATTTTATGTTTTACAATTCGAAATAATACCCAAATAGCACAGAGAAAGTGAATTAAACATGGACCAAGTAAATGTAACATTTCAACTAGATTATCAATTATTTTAGTTGATGATGATGGAGTAAATACACATAATTCTAAATTATTCATAAGTGGATTTGTAATTATATGACGATAGAATATTCGATGAATGTGTGATAGACTGATAATAATAAATAAAAATATGGAAATAATCAATGAATGTTTTCGAGAAGTAAATAATTGTAATATAGAAGATTCTATTAATATACGTTTAATAGCGACACATGTGCTTAACCATAGACTTACAGATGCCATTGAAATAATTAGAACAGGTAACAAAACTACATGCAAAAAAATCATACGAAGTCGATGATGTATTATGATCAAAATATAAAATATTAATCAAATCAATTTCAATACCAATCATAGTTATTAAACTTACAATACAATAGAAAATTAAATAAATACCTAATGATGTTATTCCAATCTTTTTTGATAATATTAAAGTATATAAACATAAGAAATTATTAATAAATGCTAAGAGAACAAAAAATGTAATTAAGAATCCATATGCATATTTTGTTTTTTTAATTCTATCTTCTGCTCTGTATATATCTGTTAACATAATTGCTCGAATAGATGTTAATAAATTTGAATTGTTTTCACATAATTCTTCAATACTGTAATTTGATATCATAGTAATTACTGTAACGATATTTGTCCTGTTACTATGATTCCTTCTTATTTCAAGTATTACCCTTATTTTATACATCATGTCATACTTTATTCCATGTTTTTATCGTATTCTTTTTTTCCCTCTGATGGGCGGGCATATAAGTATATGCACTGTATAAAATCGATGCGATTCTCGATAAGAAGAAATATAATAAAGTGTAATATCATTGACAAAAGTACTTTTTCAATCAGAAATCGTCCCAATAACGTAGTCTAGATGGTACTCACTAAAAAAACAAATACGCCTGACATCGTATGGCGCAGAAAAAAGAGGAAGTGAAGTTATACGTCTATTCATTGAATTGTTCGTAATATAAGATGATGTCGTATGAGTCATGTTATTTACGCACTTTACCTGCAAACTGATTATTTTCTTTGGTATGTAGTTTTAATAATTTATTCATAATCATCAATATGAAAATATAAATATGTATTTTTTTCTTCGTTTTATTCACTTTACTGTTACAGTGAGAAGTGCTTACAGTTGTTAATATAACCATGCACAGCTATTTGATGACAAAATCGCTCTAAGTAGTAATGCATACAACGAGAAGGCAAAAATAGATGTCTAAGTTACTACATTCTGTAAATTAAATATAATATGAAAAACGAAAAATGGTAAGATGTTGATATACCACACACACTTACATCCACCCTTCGAGATGATTTGATATAATAATTCATGTATATTATCTGTCCTAAACTAAAAACGTTTGTATCTTAATGAGATAGGTGCATAGAAGCAAACTGTTTAGAGTTTCTTTATTCCCAGTATATTAGTCTAAAAACTTTGAGTCAGTTAGTAGAGTTTATTCCTAAGAACTTTGATTGTATGTTCTCTTACTGTCGTGTATGGTACGGAACTTAAAAAAGGTTTCGATATAGCGCTTGTTTCTTTTCAATGTTGCTCAACTAAATATAAGTAAAGAGGCTACAACTAAAAGCACAATGTTATCCGTTCTTCTGTTTATTTGATAAATAAAAAAATATAATTGTTAGTAAATATTTTGTTCAATTAAAACAAACAAGCCATGTCAAAAACATGAACCAAATGGCAATGTTCACACCATTATAGAGAGGAATAGCTTTTGATTTGTTATATGTTGATTTATCATAGGTATTGCACAAATCAGCGTAACAACATTGATACGTAGCTGAACAACTGGAAGGACCATTGGGCCAGGGAAAATGGAGTGTTGTGCCACATTTACTCCTGTCTGAAAGACCAAGAACGTCAGCACCGTAAGGTACACCATTGCAAAGAGCAATCAAAGTCTAATAATGAATCAAGAAAATATTAGATTAATCAAATAACAAATAAACTTTTGCTATGTGAAGATGGGTATGACTGTGAATTAAAAATGATATTCATCCTCAACTTTATTCTGATTTAGAGTTAATAAAAATCATGTTACGAAGGTCTTATACAAAACCATGCTCGACTCATAATTCTATATTTTACTTACACAGCAAGCTTTGTTGTTCCTGGATATGATAGCACCAACCGATGTTGAGATATTCTTTTGGTTATAGCATGTATAACTCGATACTAATGGTATTGATATACCTATACGAGAAAAGTAAAGTAATAGATACCGAGCATTAATAAATAGATACTTACTAAAGAGAATGAAAAGGGTAAGTGAGCTTGTTGTCGCCATCATTGTTGCTGATACACAACCAACTATGTTAAAATTCAATCACAGTTTTATTAGTGAATTGACACTATGATGTTTATAATTCACAATCGCAATGAGGGTTTTCACGTGTCTATAATAAGAATATCATGTTAAGATAGTAGAGAGTAACAGTCAATATCGAGTTTATTGATTAGAGAATAATTAGATGAGAGAAATGAAAACAAGAAACATATTCGTATACTTTTCAACAAACTCCTACGACTAAAGGCTATTAATAAGCACGTTGTCTGACTATTCTCACCTTATCTATTTAGTTGAAATAAGAATTCATTACTAGATTATTGTTGATTTACTTCGTATGAGACAAAATTTTGTAGAATCGGATAAATTTAAGAGATTTCTTCTCTCAAAAGAGGGAAAACATGAATATATAGTAAAGTAAAAGTTCAGAACAGTTTTCTTCTAAATTTTCAGGGAGCTGCGGTCAAAATTTCTAAAACAGAATGAAACTATCCCATTCCAATACCTCTAGTCGCTGCACTTCTACATAGTTACCGTCAAATAATATTCAAGAACGTGTGGACTCGAAGAAGAACGATTGAATAAAGCAGTTATGAAACTAGACGAAAATACAAGATAAAAGAAAAATGCACGAAGCACATCTATTTATTACACTTCAGTTGCATTATTCATGGATGCATATATCATTTTTCATTTCTATTAACGAAAATTAAGCGAAAAATTACACAGAAGAAACCATATATGACGCCTTTTCGTTTCCGAAACGTAAGGAACGTTGTCAGTAATTGGTGTACAAAATGAAATGGTGAATTATATATGATTTACCTCCCATATGCAAACAAAAAAATCAGCAAAAATCTGATTACAAATGTCAAAAAGAAAGAAAAAGGTATACTTTTTCATACTTTTTCGTACTTCTCCGTATTTCTACAATGATAAATTTATTTTTATCATTTTTACTTTATATGCATGTTGATGTTATAGCATCATTTTCTATTAGATATGCTAAAATTACACTTGACGCATATAAATAATATAAAACCATAGAAAACAAAACCGAATATAAAAATAACGTCAATAGAAATAAATCCTAAATGACTAGGAGTAGAAATGTATTACATTTCTTTAACAAATGTAGTTTAATCTTTCTTCTTTAAATCAAATGAATTAGATAAGTGGGTACGGGATGTGGATCCATCTTTTCTTTACATACATTAACATTCATCCACTTCATTCTAATAGGTAACAATAACTTGCCAAATATAAAACTTTATTCGAGCAAATATATGATGTTTCTGACAACACATTTATTTCTTCATTTTTTTTATAATTTACATTTGGCTAATAACTCTCTAAAATCAAAACGAGTATCTAAAGACTACAATATTTATAAGGTTAAGAATTTTACGGAGAAATTTTGCGAAAAATTATAATTTAGAGTAGAATAGTACAATTAACGAAATTATAATAAAATTCAAGGAAAGATCAAGTTTAAGTAATATTTGCCTTTAAAGTCGATAAAAAAAGTTTTAACATTATATATTTATATGATTCAATCACTTGTTATTTATTCAATTATCAAATCTATTAATTTCCAAGAAACTATAGACTTAGAAAATCTAAATGAGTTTTCTAATGCAACACTTCCTAAGAGAAACATAGACACACACGTCTCTCTAAATGACAGTGTCGCGCAAGAGTGAGGGTGGGTGTGGATGTTAAGTTTACGATATCAACACCCACACCCCCAAAAGATAGTATGAATGCCTTTTCGATTCGATTACTTAGCTACAATTATATTAAAAGTTGAAAATTTTTTGTTTTAATTTTATTGTAAAGTAAATAATAAGTACGATTAATGTATAGAAATACGATTAATATTCATTTTCGACGTTTCGATGATCATTAACAAGAAACAGAATAATTTATTATATTTTTCTCACAATTCAGTAAATGAATTAAATGTATATTAGAAGTGATTTTATATCTTTTTATTTAAAAAGAATTAATTATATTTTTATTTAGATTAATACTATCATGTTTATGTTTGTTATATCTTATATACTTTTATAATAATTCTAAATATATGTCAGATGATTTCTCTTATAAATAACGAAACATCTTGTATGTAGAGATGTAAGTCGATCGGCGGCGGCGGCTGAAAATTTTATGAAAAAAAATTATTTTTTCCAAATGAAAAATATCTCTATTTCAATATATCAGACATAATGTTCTAAAAAGTATAGGCAACAACTGTTACATCCTTTCACATTATATGTAAAACACAAAAATGTAAAAATAAATATAAAAAAACGAAAATTTAATTTTCATTCAGGTAGATGTCGGCGGCTCGAAATTATAAAAAAATTTTCGCTTATCGGCGGCTCAAAAATGTGTAGTTTTTTCCCCTGTCGGCGGCAGCGGCTGTGTTTTTTTCCCCTATCGGCGGCGGCGGCTTAATCCATCGGCTTACACCTCTAGTTGTATGATTGTTGTTTGTTGAATCGTTCTTTCGCAACACGAATACTAAAATGAAAGTATAATGCAATAACTATTTTTCTTTCCTATCGATTATAACTCAGCATATTTCTTTTTCCCACTTTGCAAAATCTTATAAATAATTCTGCCTAATGACAGTAGCATCTGAGGGTAAATGTGTTGATGTAGGCGTCGGTATGGTAAACATAACATCCACATGTACACACTCATCGACAACTGCATATATAAACCATGATTTCTTGTACATTAATTTATAAGAACAAATAAATGGAAGAAACTTGTTGTATTTTCTTTTTCTTTTCAGATTTCTTTTCTTTTTTATTTCTTATTTTTCAAAAATAAAATGAATTTAGAACCAGCTCCTATCGCAAAAAGTGAAATTGTTTTTGATGTATGTATTAAACAATTGAATAGAATTTTAGTAAATTTTTTTTAAAATTAGGTTAAACCGTGGGATGATGAAACGAATATGAAAGAACTTGAAAAAAATGTTCGTTCAATTGAATTAGATGGACTTCTTTGGGGTACTTGTAAGTATTGAATTTCTATTGAAATATTTTAAATAAACTATTGTTATAGCTCGTCTCGAGCCACTTGCTTTCGGAATCAATGCATTACGAATTACTTGTGTCGTTGAAGATGAGGGTGTGGGTGTGGGTGTGGGTGTGGGTGTAGGTGTGGGTATGGGTG